CAACCTTTGCTCGTTTTGCTTTGCCTGTTCCATGATCGCTTGCATTGCCTCATGCTCTGGAGTCGAAGGTGAGGCGAAGTGCAAAGCGCGTCTTGCTGGGATAATCTCCGGTCTATGCATGTTTGTTGGAGTGAAATCGTCTATCTGCGTGGTTTCATCAGTGACTATTGGAGGGTCCTCCGTCACGCCCGCCATGGATATGCTTGAGTATTCCCACAGACGATGCCAATTGTGGAGAAGTGGTTTGGAAATACTCTTCTGATCTTGGGGGACGCTCGTGATCCACTGATAGCCACCTGAAAAGGAATAAACACTCCGGTCGGGGGTGCTGGAATTAGCACTCCGACGGACAAGTCAGTCTCAGCACTCAAGATTACTTATATTCTAAATTAAGTACAACAATTCTCACATCCCTTTCTTGGTCTGTTGTTCCTTTATTTATACTGGTTTCCTGGGCCTCGGGGGCAGGTCCACTTTTCACTCATTATCCTTTTATTTACTCGGAAACATAGTTCGGTATCTACTCGGCTTATCTATTTTATTCGGCTTCCTGATCGTGCAGGGAAGAGCCGAGTAATATCTGTCTTCTAGAGTACGCTTCTGATTCTTCCAATTATTCGGCCCCCACAAAGGTAATTGCCAATAATTAGAAACAACGGCCGAAAGTGATCATTGGATGTCAGAGATAATAGCTAGAGATCGAATATCATCATCACTGATGACTGAAGATAATTACTAGCAGTAGTGTCATGACATCAATGTTATAATTGATGAACTAGATAATATACAGTAAATATATTTTTAAAACATTAATAATTAATCTAAGAAATAAATACGATCGATAAAATAGGGCTGTAAATACCCAATTTTGTTATGGGGAAATTACCAAGAAGTCTTGTTTGAAAAGCGTGTAGTCTATTTAGTCCCATAACTTTTTTCTTATACCTAAAAGTCCTATAACGTTATTATTCTTCTTCTCTGCCACTCTTCTTCTTTGTCTCTTTTGCTCTTTGTGTTTTCCGGCGATCGTTGACGGGTAACCATATCTTGCTTCTTCTCTTTCTCTTTCCGATATATAGTCACCGGCGACCGACGACTACCATCGATTGGGATTTACTGGTAACCACCGACCACCAACTGCCGACTACTTACTTCACTCTCACCGACAATAAAGAAGATATGTTTCCGATGAAGAAGATGAGTACATTTACATCAGATCTAATGTAGATCTACATTAGATCCAGCTAGATCTAAACAAAAAATAGTTGCCGGAGTACAATCCTCTCTCTATATTTGCCTCTCTCCTTCGATCTCTTATTTTTTTTACATTTTCTCTGTTATACACTTCTCTTTTTTCTGTTCTAATGGAGAAAATTTTTAAGTTTTGAACAAGTTGTTTTCGAGTTTTAGTTACAGGCGGTAAAAACTGTAAAATTTTGTAATTTCAATTTTTTTTGGTGCTGTGTAGATTTACATCAGATCCGGATAGATCTAACAAAAAATAGTTGTCGGAGTACAATCCTCTCTCTATATTCACCTCTCTCCTTCGATCTCTTTTATATATATATATATATATATATATATTTTCTTTGTTATACACTTCTCTTTTTCTGTTCTAATGGAGAAATTTTTTAAGTTCTGAACAAGTTATTTTCGAGTTTTAGTTACAGGCGGTGAAAACTGTAAAATTTTACAGTTTCAAATTTTTTTGGTGCTGGAATGAATCATGGTATAAAACTGTAAAATTTTACAGTTTCATAACAGTCTTTAGAACTGTAAAATTTTACAGTTTCATAACATGTTTTTCAGTTTGATTAATAAGAATAAATACTTAATAGATTTTTGCTTTGAAACTGTAATAAATATTGGACAGTTTCAAAACTTACTTTTCAGTTTGATCAATATTGGAGATTATTTTCTTAAACCTCACAAAAATTAAAAAATAGCATATGTTTTTCCCATTGTTGCTATTTTTTGTCGTTCCATTTTTTTTCTTTTAATTTATTAATATTTAGTATATTTTGCTATATTTTTTTACTCTAATTTCTCTATTTATTTTTTTTTCCCGGCGATATTCTGGATATTCCGGTGAATCTCCAATGATGTTCTTAACGTTCCGTGAACGTTCTGAACATTCCGACGACTTCCATTAACATTCTTAACATTCTGGTGAACTTTCGGCGATATTCCGGCGACTTCTCGGCGATACTCCGGTGACTTTCCGATGATGTTGAATATTCCGACGAGTCTCCGGTGACCGTTTAACGGTAGTAGAATGTAATAGCATCTACAAATTGAAAAAAAAAAAATTATTTTTTAGTAATAATTAAAAATATATAAGACTAATTGATGTAAATGTTTTGGGAGTTTTTTTGATAAATCCATTTTCTAATAGCTTTATTCCATCCAACTCATATTCTTTTTGACTATTCCATTAGGTCCAATTTGAGATAAGAAGACCAAAATACCCTTTTCATCTACTTATGTTCCATTTAGTTCACATTATTTTCTTATATTTCAATAAGTCCTATGGGTGACATAATTACTAAAATACCCCTAATGTGAATGTTCATATCGTCAATGTGTAGGCGTCCGGCCTATGTCGATCCTCATGGGTGCCCGGAAAAATTTGAGTCGGGCCGAGCCGGGCCGGGCCGGCCCACAGGCCAAAAAAATAGGCCCGGTCCGGCCCGTTGATAATGTGAATATTTACATTGACAAGTTAACATTCACATTGATAGGATTGTAAAATTGGCCCGCGGCGGGCCCGGGCATTCACATTGATAAGAGTGTAAAATTGGCCCGCGGCCCGTTCATAATGTGAATATTCACATTGACATATTAACATTCACATTGATAGAAATGTAAAATTAGCCCGCGGCCTGTGGCCGACCCGAAACTCACCCGCGGCTCGTGGGTTGCCCTGGGCGGGCCTGGCCCGACCCGTTGATAATGTGTATATTCACATTGACATGTTAACATTCACATTGATAAGAGTATAAAATTAGCCCGCGCCCCGTGGCTGCCCGAAACCAGCCCACGGCCCGTGGGCGGCCAGGGGCGGGCCCGGTCCGGCCTGTTGACAATGTGAATATTCACATTGACATGTTAACATTCACATTGATAAGAGTGTAAAATTGACTCGCGTCGCATTGGCGGCCCGGGTTTGGGTCCGGGCCTACCCCGGGCCGCGGGCGAGCTTCGGGTAGCGGACAAATTTTACACTCCTATCAATGTTAATGTTAACATGTCAATGTGAATATTCACATTGTCACGGGTCGGGCTAAGCCCGCCTCGGGCTGCGATTTGGCTTCGGGCCGCCCACGGGCTGCGGGCCAATTTTACACTCCTATCAATGTGAATGTTAACATGTCAATGTGAATATTCACATTGCTAACGGGCCGGGCCTGCCCCGGCCCGAGGTCGGGCTTCGGGCTGCCCACGGGTCACGGGCCAATTTTACACTCTTATCAATGTGAATGTTAACATGTCAATGTGAATATTCACATTGTCAACAAGCTGGGCCGAGCCCACCCACGGGTCGTAGGCGGGTTTTGGGCAACCACGGGACGTGGGCTAATTTTACACTCCTATCAATGTGAATGTTAACATGTCAATGTGAATATTTACATTGTCACGGGTCGGGCCAAGCCCGCTTTGGGCTTCGGTCGGGCTTCGGGCCGCCCACGGGCTGCGGGCCAATTTTACACTCTTATCAATGTGAATGTTAACATGTCAATGTGAATATTCACATTGTCAACGGGTTGGGTCGGGCCGGGCCTTCCCCGGGCCGCGGGCGGGCTTTTGGCCGCCCATGGACCGTAGGCCAATTTTATACTCTTATCAATGTGAATGTTAACATGTCAATGTAAATATTCACATTGTCAACGGACCGGATTGGGCTTGCCTCGGGCCGCCCATGGGCTGCAGCCGGGTTTCGCGCCGCCACGGGACGTGGGCCAATTTTATGCTCCTATTAATGTGAATGTTAACATGTCAATGTGAATATTCACATTGTCAACGGACCGGGCCGGGTCGGGCCCGCCTTGGGCTGCTGGCCAAGTTTATACTCTTATCAATGTGAATGTTAACATGTCAATGTGAATATCCACATTGTCAACAGGCCGGGCCGGGCCCGCCCCAGGCCGCCCATGGGCCTTGGGCGGGTTTCGGGCAGTCACGAGGCGCGGGCTAATTTTATACTCCTATCAATGTGAATGTTAACATGTCAATGTGAATATTCACATTGTTAACGGGCCGGGCCGAGCCCTCCCCGGGCGGGCTTTTGGCTGCCCATGGGCCGTGGGCCAATTTTATACTCTTATCAATGTGAATGTTAACATGTCAATGTGAATATTCACATTGTCAATGGGCCGAACCGGGCCCGCCCCGGGCCGCCCATGGGCCGTGAGCGGGTTTCGCGCCGCCACAGGACGCGGGCCAATTTTACACTCCTATTAATGTGAATGTTAATATGTCAATGTGAATATTCACATTGTCAACGGACCGGGCCCGCCCTGGCTCGCGGGCGAGTTTCGGGCCGCCTACGAGCCAATTTTACATTCCTACGAATGTGAATTTTAAAAAATGAATGTTTACATCATTAAATTGCTAATCGTTCAAAAAATATTTATAAAGGTATCAAAATTGAATATAAGGGCATAAGTGTCCAAGAAAATAGTGTAAATCAAGAAAATGGACTTTATGGAATAAACCTATACATACATGGGACTAAATGGGTTAAAAAATTCCTTCATGGACTTCTTGAATTAAAACACTTCTAAATTGGACTTATCAATAAAAATTCCAAATGTTTTATTTAAAAATTAGATAGATCTTTAACTTTGTATATTAGACTCAGTCGGCTCACCTTACCAACCAGAACAAATTGATTTGGATAACCAATTGCTATTGAGAGGTCCAAACAAAACCACTACTCTTATCATCTCTCTCACTCGCACTCCAGCAACCAAGTAGAACAACCAGAAGAAGAAGAAGAAATGTCGGTTTCGGCTCTATTTGGTTCGAGAATGGTGGTCCTCCCAAACCCATCTTCTGGATTTGGTGGTGCGACGAAGGCGCCAGTCCCGAGGGTCGGCGGCGGAAGCTGCGGCGGTCTGGTGATAGAGTGCTCGTCACGGCCGCAGAAGAAGGCGACGGCGCACCACCGCAAGACTCGGCCGCGGAAGACTCAGCCATGGGACATCCGCCGTAAGCCCACCGTCTACCCACCTCTCCCTCCCCTCCCTCCCGAATGGACTCTCGTCGCCGACGACGGCGATGCTCAATCTCTTCTTCCTCAGCCACTCGAAACCACCGAGTAATTCTCAATTTATTTATGTTACTGTTTTTGTTTTCGATTATAAATGTTATGGTTGAGACTTTGTTTGACGATTCGATTGCTGATTTCTATGGATTTTATGGTTTTGATTGACTGGTTTATGATGAACGAATGACTGAATTCAATTGCATTTCAATGAACATTCAATTGGGTTGTGAGAGTGCCCACAACTTGTTTGATGTTATGCCTAGTTGAAATGAAAAAGGCAAGACCTAACACGCGTGAAATTCAATGGTATGCATAGTGGCACTTGCTAAACTTCAGTTTTGTATATACAAAATTAGGTTGGATGTTGATATGGATGATTGAACAGATAAAGTTGCTCATCTCATTAACTTTGGTTTCTCTGCCTTATTTCTTATTTGTATGTGAAAAAAAAAAAGAAAAAGAAAAAAAGTGGGGTACAATTTGCGGCCAGGGAGTGTGCTCTGTTCAGGCGTCGTGTTTAAATTGTAATAAGTTTCTCGGGGTTACTCTGTACAGGACGCTTGCTTTGGCTTTACATAGGCTTTACAAGTGGGCTATGGAATTGCTCCCGAAATTAGTCAATATTGGCGTAACCTAGTCAAGACACCTGATTATTTAAAAAAAAAAAAAAAATGAAGAAAAGTGAAATCAAATCCATCAAATTCAAGCTTCACAGTTTGATTAGAGTGAAAAATATGGTGCAAAATGAGAGTGATAGAAAGTGAAGTGAAAAGTGGGAGGAAAATTTATTTAGGGTCCATATGATTTAGTTTTGGAATTATGATTTGAGTGTAAAGTTATATTTTGAGTTTTGAGTTTTTGAATCATAATTTGAAAAAAGAAAATTTATTTGGTTATTAGTTTTGAATATAGTTTCTGGATGATTTGTAATTTTTTTTATTTCTTTTTTTGATTGATTGATGTATAAAATGTGAGAGAATGTAAGAGGAGAGAGAGGAGATGAAAGAGAAAAGTGATTGATTGATTGATTGATAAAAATAATAAAATAAATAAACAAATATATATATAAAAAAGATAGGTTTTGAAAGTAAATATGAATTGTATTTTAAAATTTTATTTGATTATGAATTTTGATTTAAATAATGATTTAAAAACATAATTGAGTTTTGAAAAGTAAACCGAACGTTATCTTATTTTTTTATCAATTGCCAAATGGTAAATATGTAGGCTCCAACAGAAGGAATTCAGAAAGAGACTGCAAAATGGGATAGCAAAAAAGCCATTAGATGGTTCCTTCTGCATAACAAGATTTCACAAGAATGAAAATCCGAGCAGTGAGAAAAAAAAAAAAAACATAAAGTCGATCGTGGGCCTGAGCGCGCTGCAATATCACCATTTTCCTTTAATTGTTCACTCAAAAACTTGGAGTTCGTAAAGACATTACCATGCTAAATATAATGCTCTTGAGCCCACTTGAGAGGGAAAGCACTGCCGCAAGATGAACACACTCCCTAATCAACCATCAATTGATTAAACAAGGAGCCTACCATACTAGATTCTAAGGAGAGTTTGGTAATGTTTATGTTTACAATTTTTTGTTTATATTAGTGTGGTACTATTAGCACCCCATGAATTATTTTGGATCTCCTATTCTTTGAACTCTCACTTATAAATTTTGAAACTCTTAAAATTTCTACTCCCTAAATAATTCCAAAATTATCCTTAAACATTATACACATTGAATGTACACCCCCCACACCTCCAAAAAACATCCCTTCCAAAAAACCCTAACAAAACTCACTAAGAAGAAGAAGAGTCTCATCTTTTCAAAACTCACGAAGAAGAAGAATGCTATCTGTCACGACCCAAACTTGCCTCTATAAGTTTAGCATTGTAACCGGCCAGTAATCTTGGGATTACCGAAGGCCTCTGCGATAGATTAACATAATATTAGGGGCTAACGGAAGCAAATAGCAAATATATAACGTCCATTAAGCTGTGTAGACTTATATAAGATAAAAAAAATTTAAACTTTTTATATACATATTTACACATCATATATATATATATATATATATAGATTAGACAAAAAGAGACTTAGTCCTATTTACAAAATAAACAAACACTTGTTTAACCAAACAAGAAAACAAAACTTGAACTTTAATCACATAGTCATAACTACTTGACATATTTGGAACCTCCACAGGAGGCACATAGGTTGGCTGACAAAACAGATTCTAGGCAGACGCCTCTAAGCCTGGTCACGCGCTTAATCACCTACATACATAAATAATATAGTGAGTTCGAGCCTAGTGAATAATAACAAAGTAAAAGGTTTTAATGAATGATATCTATCACAGAGTCAGAAATCATAATTTATATCAAAAACAGATTCTTATTAGAAACAGAGTCTTATGCATATTTAGATTTCAAAAATCAGAAATAGATTCATATACATGTTCATATTCATAGTCATATTCATATTCAGATTTTGCATAAGATCATATGTGGTACACCCATTAGCGCTAACAAATCAGATACAGAGCATTAAGGGTCATACTTGACTAGTTTCATAAAGGAACATCTGGTACCGGGAACAAATAATATACATAAGCCACTGTATTGTTACCCCCGGGCGAGAGCCATGAAACCACGGTATTATTACTCTCGGGCAAGGGCCATGAGACCACAGTATTATTATCCCTGGGCAAGGGCCTTGTGTTCATAGACCACGATATTGTTACCCCCGGGCAAGGGCCATGTGCTAAGGATGCCACGAATACTTTTCAGTATGTGGACAATCATTCATTGATACAGAACATAGCATTTCAGAAAACAGATAATTTCTTGTCATATCATATAGGAAAATACTTAAATGTGAATATAACTTTATAAAGTTATTACTCACAAATAGCTGCAGAAGCAGATCAGACAGATTAGGCAAACAATAGTGTGCGACCTACACAAACACATAACATATACACATTGAAACAAAATATCAATTTCCTTGATCAAACTTGACTCTTTTTTCTTTTTTTTTTGTCTTCTGTCTAAATAATTCGAAGGTCTACTATGCTTATTCTTCTTTAGTCAAATGAATCAGCTTCTCATCTCACATATTCTTTCATTACTAAATCATTCTTTTCTGAATAAATCAATTTCTTACTTGGCTTTTTAATCAATTACTACTAAGTTAATGACTTATTCTTCAACCAACTTGTTGGCTTATTAATCTTTATTGAGTAACAAATCATGTCTAGAATGCTTTGGGAAGAGATGGGATGAAAATATAAACAAAGTGTGATTTTTCAAAACATGCTAAAAATAGTCTGGCCGCTCGAGCCACCACTTGGTCACTCGAGCGGATTGTATAGTCTGTAAAAATATTGGAAGCTCAAAATGTCTGCTCGAGCCACCAATTGGTCGCTCGAGCGACCTGTAAATTTTCTGACTTCCAAAACTGAAGATTAGCTTCCAAATTCCATTTCAAAACTTAGATTCATGCATTTTTCATCATGTAATGTCATTAATAAATATGAACGCATAACTAATTTCCAAATCTTAATGCAAAAACCTCCTTAATTTTTCAATATTAAAGCTATAACTTCATGAATATAATGATTCAAAACTTTTCTTCTTTTTTCTTACAAAATATGAAATTAAAGCTATAAGGCTCTTAGAAAAATATCTACATATATGAAATTCAAATTAAGATCAAACTAATTCTTGGTTGTCAAATTCAAATTATAATTTATTTATTAATTTGTCCAATTTTAGATTTAATTCATTTTCTTCATATCAAACTCAATTTCAAACTTATAAATTCTAAAACATAAATTAAGCTTTTAAAACCCAATTTCATGTTCAAAACTCATGCAAAATTTCATCAAAACATGAAAATAATTATAAGCCATGATCAATCTTGAATAAATCTTTGTTGCATGTAATTTATGAAGCTTAATTTAACAATAACTTTCCAAATTAAACCCAAAATAATTAATTTCTAATTTAACTTCATAAATTTGATCTTAGCTCCATTTCTTCATTTTCATGCCAATTTCCTAGCAAACATTGAATATATGTAATTCAAATAAAACTAAATAATTTAATATATTCCAAAATTTGTTTAAATTAAATAAAACTCTTAAATTACATTACATGCATGGGTTAAGAATCAAAATCAAAACCCATATTTTCATGAGCTCATGGTTCCAAAACTTTTCTGCAAAATCAAATGTATAATAAACTTACATGGCTCAAATCCTTTCAAAACTCATGGTGCATGTAAATATACATCTCATATATATATATATATATATATATATCAAGGTTCACAAATCCAAGCTCAATTTGAAGAATTCCTACAATTATTTCCATATTTATTCTTTAATTCTTCCAAATTACATGCATGTGAAAATGAGACTCAAATTCATGCAAGATATTCAAAATCTAACTAAAAATAATTGATTTCTAAGTTTATTTCCATAACCATGAACCTAACTTAATTTTCTTTATCTTCTTGCTAACTCCTTTTAATCACATGATTTTGATTCCAATTTCATCTTTAATTTCAAGTATAATGTAAAGATTCTATAAAATTAAGCATAAATTTCATACCTTAAACTTTAATTCCAATATGTTAGGTTGATTTTCCTTTGAGTTTTCTTCCTTTCTTTCAATTTCCTTGAGCTTTTCTTCTTTTGTTTTCCAGCAACTAACTCTCTCTCTCTCACTCGGTCCTCCTCTCTTTCTCTTGACTCTTCTCCAACCAAGATGGATGAGAAATTGCAGAGAAGGCTTGCTGGCTGGAAAACCCATGCTCTATCTATGGCTGGCAGAGCAACTCTTATTAAATCTGTAAATGCTACCATTCCCTCCTACACCATGCAAACTATGCTTTTCCCTAAGACAGTTACCACTGAGATTGACAAGTTGAATAGGGATTTTCTCTGGGGTGACACCCTGGAGAAGAAAAAGGTTTATCTTGTTAATTGGAATAGGGTGTGTAAAGTGAAAAAGCATGGAGGCTTGGGCATTAAAAAGGCCAAAGATCAA